TTATGATAAAGCAACTTTTGATATGTAGAGTAAGTTGCTATGTGTTTTGGAAATATATTGGCTTGAAGAAGGTTTGAATGGATTTTTGGAAAGCATGAGAATGCATGTGCAATATTATGGTATGCACAATATTGCGTTTGAAATTATTTTATTTAATTTCTAGAGAAAATTTCGTATAGAACCCTAATTCCTAATACTATTTCATAGTAGACCGTCCTTCCGTTTTTCTTTCAAGCAGCATAAGGGAAACCCTAAAAATTTCATTTTACCCCATCATCTCTTATTTCCCTCTTTTGTTGACTTTTTATCATAAAAATTAGTCCCAATCATTTTATACTATTTCAATCTAAAAACGTTTTTAACCCTATTTTCCTCTTTCCACCCATTAAAAGCGTTTTTGATTGAAATGGTATAAAAAGATTTGTTGAGGGTAATTTTTATGGTCAAAATTCAATAAAAGAGGGAGATAAGATATGAGAGGGTACAGTGAAATCTTCAGGGATTTCCTTATGCCGCTTGAAAGAAAAACATGAGGGTCGACCACGTAATAATATGAGGAATAGGGTTCTACATGAAATTTTTCCTAATTTCTATTAATGGAAAAATAGTTTAGGAAAGGGGGATAAAGGTTCTAGCACCTTCCATAATATTAATGGTCCATATATGGAATGGGGGTCTCAAATCTCTCACCCCACAAGTCACCCAAGATCAATGGTTCATGTTCAATCTCACAATAAGAGGTAAACCCTAAGAAACCATTTCAATCTCACAAGAAGAGGCAAGCTATGAAAAACCCTAAGAAACCCTAATTGTATTATTGCTCTATAAATAGAGGACCTCCCTCTATGAAAATCTCTACACCAAAAATCTCTTCTCTCTCTCTAGTTTTGTGAGGGGTACACCCCACCTAGAAGGTTTTTCTCTCTCTCTCTCATCTTGCTTTGAAGCCTAAGGGTTGGGTTGTATTAAGAAGATGATATCCTAAACTAGGTCTTGAGGGTTTGAACCTAAAGTCTAAAGTCTTGTGATCAAGAAGAGTTCATAGTTCCATTGAAGGGCTTGATCCAAAATTGCTTTCTCGATTGAGATTGAAGGTTGATCGTTGATCCCACGCTATCGGATGGCAGTGATTCGGCGTAAGGTGTAACAAGTCCAGTTGAAGTAATATCCAGCATATCTTTTGTTTCGTACATATTTAATTATATTACCTTCATATTCCTAAGCATATGAAGTAGTGGTTATATCTTTTGTTTAAAGAAATGGTTTAGTGGCATCAAAGTTTTAAGGTCTTATTTTTACTTTTCTTTAAAGCATGAGTTATTGCAATAAGACCACTTATAAGTGATCTTCGCCAAAATAAAAGGGGTGAAAATAAAAAAATAAAAATATACATACCCGGCAAGATTACATTGATTATTCTTTTAGGAAATACATATTGGCGTTCTTAAGACATCTAGTACGGGTTTATACTATGGACCTCTAATTTAACTCGCTTGTAAGATGAGATGATAAGATCAACTGACACCTCAAGACTCAAATAAAATGGTTAAGGTTTCTTACTAATCCATACACACACACAAGATGGGTCTTGTAACACCAATAGGAGTAAAGAAAGGAGAGGGATGGATCAACAAACATATGGCATAATTATATCAAGGGATTGTTATTACCTTTGATACAAGATGGGCACAATTATATAATCGTCAAACAGAACTTCTTCCTAAACATCATAAGGGGGGTTTTCCCATCTTCCATCGGATGACATCTGAAAAATCAGCAGCAACTATCAAGAAAGCCAATAAGCTGCAGCAAATCATCATCATCTACCAAAGTTATAGGCCGAAGGTTCACACTTCATGCTGATGTTCCCTATTAGGGTTATTATCTCCTGAAAATCAAATACAATCCTGTGAATGAACTTCCTTACTTTAGGCTCTTTTTTTCCTTTGTCATGGCGCCACCTTTCTTCACCCCTTATAAGCCGATTATTGACTCAGCTGAAAACTAGGCGCGGAGAAAACCTGCAGTCTGTGACGACCTCTCGTATCATTTCGCACAGATCTTGAAAAAAAAAAGCGTAAAAATCTATCCAAATCCCAAAGTAACTGACCAAGCCAACCATAGTGAAGGTAGCTTCAAGTCAAGAATAACCTTCCCGTTAGCCGTCCCCAAAGAGCTAAATCGATGTGCAGAATCTTAATGGGTCTTTATATCTAGACCAAGATCACCATCTGTCTATGACTGGAGTCTAACACTAAGCTAAGTGAAATACCTCCATGAATGTAAATTTATAATGGGTGCGGTTTGTATTAAAACTTTTTCCATTTATTGTTGGCTTCATTAACTCAAAACACAATGTGTCCTTTTCTTTATATATTCACAATCACATTTCAGACTAATAATGGTTCTTAGAAGGTGCCAATCTCTCAATAGGCGCATGGCTAGATTCCCAACATCTTTTTTTTTTTTTCCTTTTTGAACAAGAATCACATTTCTTTCATAACTTCAACAAATCAGTACGGCTGGATTCACAACCTTTAATCCATTTCCATTAGCTTTGTGTATGTGTGTGTGGTGTGTGTATGAGAGAGAGAAAGCAAATTGGAAATTCTGGGTCCCATGTCAAGTTTAACCCATATAGGTTGGTTATGGGTCCAATAATGCCAGCCATCATTTTATATCTCAAGGTTCCATGTTTTCTTTTTGGAATTTTTTTCAGAAATAAAATTGGTCGAAACACTCATATCCGAAAATCTCTATTTAGGGGAGAAACATATGCAAAGAGAAATATCCTACTTTTTCTTCCCTTATCTAAATCTCCACCATTACTTCCTTTCGCATGTTAGGATATGGAGGAGATCAAATTTGTTAATAGAGAATAAAAGGTAAATTATAGGAAAAGGGGGTGGTGGGACCCTGTATACAAGTACGTCCCTTAACGAAATTTGGGCTCGATTTGCCCTATCCGTTTGTAAGGACGGTGGGGACACAAGAGAACTCATCATTACAAGTACATCCCTTTAACGAAACCTCAATACTTACTGGAAAAAAGTTTATATAGAGCCGAGGCTCTAAACAATATAATTAGAGCCCACCTCAAATATTTCATTAGAAGATGTTGGTTTGATGTTCAAATATCTGCAAATTGATCATCTCGACATCAATATGCATGGAAATGAGAGAAAAATGGATTTCAAATTTTAGAAATCGATCTTGTAATATATTTTTGGATTGTCAATTTTCAAGATTTCCAAATTTTCATAGATATGCTCAATCTACACTATTTTTGAAGCATTAATTTTATAATTAAAGATAAAAATATATTTTAAAGCTATCATAAAGATTCCCAATATTGAAACCACATTTCCTTACCCTAGTTGGATGTGTGCTTTATTTTGATTGTTTAGATCCTCGGCTCTATACGCCCCATTGGAACAAGTAAAACCTCACATCAAAACTCACATGAAATTGTAGATCTAAGTTTTAAAAACCTTCAAACTTATTATCAGGATTAGAATTTCAAGCCTTAAAAATAATGTATATTATACCACTATTTAAACTGTCCATTTCACCCTAAAACCAAATTCATGGATTTGCAAGATCTATATTATTTTTTGAGTTTTATTATTTCATATTTAATATCGAAAACTAATTTTACAGCCACCATATAAATTTTCAGAGTCCAAAGTGCTGTCCCAACAAAGATTCAAGGTAAGACACTGCTTTCTATTTATAAAGCCTCGGCCTTTGAAATTGTATCTTATAATGAGATTTTTAACAAGATATAAATGTCGCACCATTGGTATGTCAAAAACACACAAAAAGGCCATTTAACACGCGTTTCTATTACACAGCTCAGTTTAAGTTCAAACGGAAATTCCTATTTTGGTGGGAATTTCCAATATAATTTTTTTATGCATTGTTTCCAAAAAAAAGTGGAAATTCCTACCATTCCAGTAAAACAACGGGAAAGACATCTCATGGTCTTAAAAAATTTTAGAAAATAGCAGAAATAAAAAAGTTAAATATGAGAGATTATACATGAAAAAGATAAAACACTTAAATATCCGTATAAAATACCGAATGGTTTGAATTTAAATAAGGGCACAGTTCGCATCCGGACGCCTCCGTAGGTGTAGAGACACGGTGCCCTTCAAAATTTATCATGGTATATAATTTTGATGTAAACTGTTATTAGGATTATCTGAAAATCTGTTTTTAAATCTAATTATAAAATTTTAAATTTCAAAAACGATTAAAATCATATAGATCTATAAACATATGAAAATCTTGAAAATGGACGGTGCAAATAATATATTGTAAAATGCACTATTTTTGAGACTTAAAATCTTTTTATTTTCGATAGTCAAACATCTCAATGTCGAGATGATCAATCAGATGATTTTTCAACATTAAAACTACCTTTTCCGATGGATTTTTGAGGGACGGATTTTTTAGGGGCATCCATAGTAACATGTAGCATCCTTGTATAAACTTTTTCCATTAAATAAGGATAAAAATATCGGCATTTACTTCTCCGTTACATTAACTATAAAAAATTCGTCTAATTTCTCTTTTGGTGCAAAACACGTACCAATGGTAAGTTGAGGATATATACCGTTGACATAGAACTGTTTAGTTGAACATAGAAAACAAGTACTGTCGGAAAAATACAAGTGTCGGAAAAATGTAAGAAAATCACTACTTTTATAAATCCTAACATTCAATGAATTTGAATATTCAGAAAAAATGGGGCAAATTTGAATTTGGTCTTTAAATGTATCAGATATCGTATCCATTTTGTTTCTCTGGTATCACAGACATGAGACATCAAATCTGTCCTTGAAACATCCAAAATACCAAACTTTCTCACCCATGGGGTATGTGATTCGGGATCAAAATCACTTCTAACTAAACATTTCAAGCTCAAATGTCTGAATTAGGATCGAAATCCCACTGCAGGGAGAAGCAAAAGAGGCAAAATTCAGACACTAAAAAGATGGCAACATATGCAACCCTTAACCTTATGTTCACCACACACACACACACAAAAGCAGGCAGGGACAGAGAGAGAGCGATTGTCAAATAGTCTTTCAATCGCATTCATGAACAGAAAAACAGCAGCTACAAAGCAGTATTGGTACCAAAGATTCACAACCGGTTGATAGAGAGAGAGTGTCAAATAATCTGTCAATCGCATTCATGAAAATATTGAGAAAGACATAAAAACAGCAGCTGCAAGCATTATTGCTACTAAAGATACACAACCAGTAGCTTGTTCTTAGAACAACAACACCACAGGCCCGCAACGAACTTCTAGGGTTCACCACCGAGCTCCACACGGAGGTTGTCATATGGGTAGACTTTTGGTGTCTGCGCACAAAAAGAACCTTGGTACTTGTTAGACAACATGAAGATATCGAAACAATCAAGCGACATCTTTTACTTCATTTAGTTTTCACAACTTTACACACGACGTTTAAATTTTATCTTATTTCGAAATCTTATATACAAATACTAAAATCATATGTACTTTTACGAACCAGAGTAAAAACAAACCTCCAATCCAGTTCTTCATAAACATTCCCCCATGTTATTTTCAACTCCCTCTAGATGAATATAGCCATATATGGTTTCCATATCTCCTTCTATAGTGCGGCATATGACAGTGTTACATCTTAAAGCCCAATGGTATTCTCCATAATGCAAGTCACTATGAATGCAGCAGGGCACACCAAATATCTTCATCCAACAATTTAATTTTTGCTCCGTCCCTTTTTCTGGAAGGAGTTGGGCGAGCTACAAACCTTGGAATCCAAACCACCAAATCATTTGAACCCTCATTTGTTTTGATGTCACAATAGCAGCAGCAGCAGCCAGCAGCAACAAAGTTATAATGTACGTAATGTTTATCCATGTCCTATCATTTTATTTATTTATGGACTTTAATGTCTCGAACATCAAATTATAATAGAAATAGAGGTGTGTGGGGCCTTGACCAGTTATTGACATAATTTCTAGAGAAAGAAAGAGAAGCTTGGTGCTTTGGTGAACCCTAGTTATCTCTTCGAGAAAGAAAGGTTCCTCGAAGAGATCACATGTGCTTTCCTGAAATATAGTTGATTTTCTCTTCTTTTTCAAATTTCCTACATCAATTTGGTATCTGAGTTCAGGTTTTTTCAACATCAAGGCCAGAAAAATACAGCCAAGTCTAAGGTTTGCTGATTTTGGGCAAGGATTTGCTGATTTCAGCACATAGTTTGTCAAATTCAGCTTAGATCTTGCTGATTTCAGCTATGTTTGTTGATTCTCTGCCTAGGTTTTGTGACTGCTGTGGACCCATGGCAATGGAGGGGTTGATGAAGGGAAGCTCTCATAGATCAACCCCATGATCCCAGAGATGAGGCAATTGAAGAACTCAAAACGCAAGTTCAGCAACTTCTGCAGCAATTCGCGGATAACACTCACAGGCAAGATGGGGATCTTTCCACCCACGAAGATGTCGAATTTAATTCGTTCCACCATCACACTCCGCGTGTGGAGTTCAATGATGAGGACAGTGCCAGAAAACCTAGATGTGAGAGGCACCGCTATAGGATTTTTGACATGAAGTTTACCTTTTTGACTTTGATGGTGAGCCTCAACTCGAGGAGTTTATAGATTGGATAACTACTTTAGAAAGAGTTTTTTGTTATACAGAGGTTCCTACAAATAAAAGAGTAAAAATGATTGCCATACGATTTAAGCAAGATGCCTCAACAATGGTGGGAACAACTTGGGGATAAAATGGAGAGAATTGGAATGCCCTAAATTAATACCTAGGAGAAGATGAAAAAGAAATTCAATACATCAATGAATTTCATCAATTAATGGCTCGAAGTGATGTGGTTAAAAGAAAGAAAGTACCTAGCTCGCTACGTAGGTGGGCTTAGAAATCTATACAAGATGTGTTGCTACAGTTTTATTCGAAGCTTACAACCTTGCAGTTAACGTTGAAGCCCAAGAGAGGCATCCATCATCAAGGTGGGGCACAGCCCAAGGTGGTACAAGTAGCTAGAGAAGCGATTTTATATTACAAAGTGGGAATTTATTGGCTGGACAGACCAACACGGCTGTTGGTTCGTCCAAACAACAGGATATTATCAGTTTTGGGGGTGGTTCTACTCACCCGTATTACTGAAACAACAACATTATTAAGTGTTTTAAGTATTAGAGAAACAAACACATCGTTGCTCAATCACCAAATAGGAAGTTTGTTGCACTTTTTTGAGGAAGTTTTGAAAGAGGACAGCAAGTTATCATTTGATGGAACCTTGTTTATAATGAGGAACTAGAGGAGGAAGAATCTAAAATGACAGTTAGTGACAATAGATAGACTTCAGTGATCCGACGAAGCATGATTATACCCTGAGTAGTAGACAAGGCAGATTGGTTGCGCACTAATATTTTCACACTCAATGCACAGCCTATGGGAAGGTTTAGTCTTATTATCAATGGGGTGAGTTGCAAAAAATATTGTTTCTCAAGAGATGGTGGACAACTAAAATTGAAGACGGAACGCCACCCAAAGCCATACAAGATCGCTTCGTTCAAGAAAGGAAATGAGTTAACAATTTCTAAATGTTGTTTAGTTTCTTTCTGCATTGGAAAACCCTACAAAGATGAGATATGGGGTGATGTCGTGCCTATGGAACAACTTGGCCATATTTTTTTATAATGTTAACTGTAAGGAGAAAGTACATCACGCGAAGATGAAAACCAAAGACCAGGCCTCTTACCAAAAAATAGACCTATCGAGATGGTCTAGGACATACAAAAAATGGGTTAGTACAAGTGCAGAAAACCTATCTTAATAAAAGAAAAGCCATATACAAAAATCCTGGTCACACTGGGTCACAAGACAGTTGAGAGCGCTCCATCTTTGGCCAGCTGATCCACCATGCCATTGGACTCCCTCCAGGTAGGCCTCCATGAGATGGCTATATCCCTGCAAATGTGAGTAATCTCGTAAAAAATTGTTGCGAGGTACTAGGGGCAAGGTGAGGAGCCGGAGGCCCAAGTGATGATGTTTTGAGCATCTCCTTCAATGATCAAGGGTTGACTCCAAGAGGGATCGAATTGTCTGAGTCTAGATAGGAGTGCCTTAGACTCAACTAGTAGTGAGTCTGTGTGGCCAATGTTCCTAGAGAAGGAAGAGAGAATATTCCCGAGGTGGTCTCGAAAAGTTCCACCCACACCTGCTGGCCCAAGGTTACTGAGTGAGCACCCGTCGAAATTGAGTTTGGTCTAGCCCTCAGGGGGAGGGGTCCAGACGCAAGACTGAGAATGTCTAGGGGAACAGTTGTAGATAAGGTTTTTCCATTGGAGCAAGAAATTCATGGAGGGGGTTCCTTTGAAATGCTAGAAGAAGACTGCAGCCGTTATCTTACAAAGGAGGGTAGGAACCTCGATTTTGACCCCACGAAAAATTCTGGTATTTCTCTCGGTCCAAATGACCCAAATCAATGTTGTTATGGACTCCTTTCTCAAGGTCCTACCTGCTTTGGGCCACAGTGTGTCAAGGGAGAGATGGTAAAGGGCCGGGATGAAGAGAGGGGTAAACCAGTTGAGGCCAAAGAGTTGAAGCAGAGAACCCCACAAATTGTGAGGAAGTTGATAGTAGATGAAAAGGTTGGAGTTGCTTTCTTCATCCATGAGGCACATCGCGCAGAGATTGGGGATATGAACCCCTCAATGCTGAAGATGATCAACAGTGAAAGCCTTTTGCGAAATAACGATCCAGGTCAAGGCTTGAACTTTGTGTGTGTGTGGTGGGGGGGGGGGGGGGGGAGGGAATGGATGGCCAAGCTTGAGCAACAATGGATCTAGGGAAGAAAGCGTAGGAACCATAGTTACCGAAATCTCTCCACCAACCTCGCGTTTCCGGTTCTGAAACCCGATTCCGTGTTTCTATTAAGGAATATCCATGAAAACCATTTTTCAGAACCAAGAAAACTCGATTCCTTAATTTTGGAATCTCGATTCAACACATCTTTAGAAACGATTTTTCGGAACCAAGGAAACTCAATTCCTTAATTTTGGAATCTCGATTCAACACATCTTTAGAAACCATTTATCGGAACCAAAGAACTCGATTCTTTAATTTCGGAATCTCGATCCAACACATCTTTAGTAACTTAAACCCATTAATTTTGGGTAGACGTTTCCAAATATATCGAATCTAGATTCCAACGAGGATTAAATCTTGATTCCACGTCAATTCGAGTAGAAATGTTCTTTCGAATGCTTCTAGTGGTTGTAGGAATTCATTATTTTATTTGTGCCACCGTGGACAACATTTACTTTAAATTTAAAATATAACTGGTAAATACAACACATACAATTAAAAGTAAAACTATGGAGTAGACATAATCCTATTTTGTCTTTATAATAATAAATTTAGAAATACTTCTCTTTTGTATATAATGACCGTAAGTTCAATAATCAACACCAGTCACTTTAAAATTTGGGAAACCTTCTAATAAGAGATATCCAATATATGTTCTAAAGTTGATAAGGCTCAAGATGTGCTTGTGGCTTCCTTCTCCATAAAAAATGAAATCTCGATTTTTGATAGGGGTCGTCAAACGCATTCCATAGTCCATATTATTGTAAATCTTGATCTCAAACTGGTATGAATCTCTGGTCCATATACGTCAAAAACTTGATTCCAAATATGTTAGAATCACGATTTGAAATAGCAACATATCTTTGTTCCACATATGCCAGAAACTCGATTCCATAGATGTCAGAACTCGATTCCGCATATTAATGAATCTTGACTCCCAGAGTGTCGATTCATGGGCATGGGAATCTCGACTCCAAAGATGACAGAATCTTGATTCCATATGTGGATGAAACATGGATCTATTTCGGTCGAAACACGATTCTCAAAAACTAAGAATCTCGTTCTTAGCGATTCCTATTGTCCGGACAACGATTCCTATGACAGGAATCTTCTTACCGGCAACAATTCTGTGATTCCGGTTCCTAAATCGATTCGGGCTCCCAGGCGTTTCCAACAACTGTGGTAGGAACATGGCATCAGCAGTCTCTTGTAAAAAGAGGCAACAGAAAACCTTCCCGAGGGTGAAGGGGTCCAAATGATTTGGTCAGAGCTAGAGAAGGCCAAAAACGTGGAGGGCAACATGGATGACAGGGTAAGGAAATCAGAGGTTTGGAGGTCAGAGAGGGGCCACCTGAAAGGACTTTCGTCTACTGGAAGACCATCTGGTCTTAAAGCCATTCCTATTGTCATATTTCTCAAAGCTTCTTTCACTTCAAATATCATAATACTACGAATGTAACTATATATATATAATGAAACAATCTTT